AGGTCACCACTTCTGGGGAGCTGCCAGAGGTAAGTGTCACCTGGAGCTCTCACCCTTCCCACACCCCAGCCCTGAGCCCTCTCCTGCACCCAAACTCACCCCCCCCCCCCCCCCCCCCCGCAAAAAAAACAAAATAAACTGTAGAAAATAATTATATTTTGAAAAATTACTACCCTAAGGCAGACAGTCAAGTGATTCCTTTTGTCAGTCCAGGTAATGCTGGTAACAAATAGTGCAATCGGAAACTATAACTGCTAGTGCAGAAGAATTAACAATACTATTTCTTGTCTTCTAGGTGCATTTCCTCCGTTACCAGGTCAAGCAAAGGCTCTTTCCCGAAAGATGACCCTCAGCAACCTGTGGCTTGTTGTCATACAGTCCCTTGCGTTTTTGTCGGGTGGTATGTGGTACTGCATCTTTCAGTATTTTTATCATTGCCTATTTTAAAAGTTGAAAGGGACCTGAGGACACCTTGAGAAGCCAGGCTCTTGCAAATCTGCATCATGTTTATATGTGCAAATGTGAATATACAAGAGTAAAGGAAAATGCTGGATGGATTTTTACCCCTCTTAGGGGAGATTTTAAACTCCACTAAATGTGAGGATCAGTTATATTGTGACCTGATGTATTTTAAGAACTGTCCATATTTTTAAAAGGTGTATACCCCCCCACGCTCTTAAGCGAATTCAACATTTGGACAAGAGGTGTAATTGTACAACCACCATAGAAGAAAATCTGCAACAAGAATGTTCTAACACTACAGGTATTGTAGTTAAAGCTCAGAAAAGTAAGCAACTTTGTTTTTCCTGTAGTCTGTACTACAAATTGTGTGGTAGATATCCTTCGTTTGCAAAAACTGAAGATATACTGCTGGGATCAGTTAAACATATTCTGCAGAGCTGGTTATGATATCTTAACTGTTCTCTGATCAGCCATCATTGTATTAGACGCACTATTTCTAAGGACAACACCCAAATGAGAGCCAGTGTCAGCAATGGGGTTGTTTTTTTGCAAGGGGGGGGGCGGAGAAAACAGTGCTCAGAAAGGTGTTTCAGTATCATAATGTGTTTTAAAAATGGTGTGCACCTGATAAATCAGCCCATTACTATTGAACATCTAATGTCCATATTCTAGTGTATTCCTTCTTGTGAGGGAACTTTAAAAAGTCACATCACTTGATTTAGTTCCCTTTTGTGTTCAAAATGTGTCCCATAAATTGATTATTGTCTTTTTGCAAAATGCACTTTTAAAGTTGAAAATACAGTGAAGGAAAAGTATGTAGCTTAGGGAAAATAGCAAGCTTTATCTATAGCAACTTGGAATCTTAAGAGGCATTAATTCTTTCTGCTGTGTTGGATACCAAACTTGAGCCCATGTGATGATTTTATAGCTTATAGAGATTTCTTTTCATTTGTTGTAACAGCACTAAAGACATTTTGGCACAGGGCTTAACCAAATCATCTCAGCATTTTTCTTAGGAAGAATATTAGGAAGCTGATCTCTTTAAAAAGATGCGTAGAAGTGCAGGCCTAAAGCTATAGGAAAATGTTCAACCTATCTGTGGAAAAAATACACAGAATACAGAAGGCAGTATTAGCCTGCCACCATGCTGAAAGTGTCAGTCTGAAAAGGAGAATTAAGAGGCAGCCTGGCACAAAATAGATTTTCTGGGGTCTGGCTCACAAATCTTCTGATGGAACATCAGCACTGTGTGTTCTCACTTCTGATCAGGTTAGTGGGCATCACATTCCTGTGATTACACTGAGATACAAAAGAACTATTCCTAGAATGCCATTATTCCCTATAAAAACATATGATGTAATAAGAACTTAGAGAATTACTATGGTGTATTATCTTTCTTGGATTAGAACTCTGAGAGTAAAGTAAGGCAACAGTCGTTGTCTACGTTGAGTTAGTGATAGAGACTCCCTGTTTCCTTAAGCTCATGACGAGTTTTGATAAGTGTACAGAATAAAAATATAAAACATAACTTCATATTTTCTTTTTGTCCTGGGTGGGGTAACAAACCAAAAAAGGGAAAGATGTGTATTTTTCCTGGCTTAGTGGGGGGAGAGAGTGACCTAGTTAACTACGCCAAAAATACAATGACTTGATCATAAGGTCACTCAGCATGGTTAATTACAAAATGATGCATTATAGAAGATCAACTGAAATACCTCATGGACTGTTATGATACCACTAAGGTGAAATGCTGAAGACAGTGTTAATGTTTAGATTACTGTCGCGCGCGCGCGCACACACACACACACACACACACACATACATACACACATACACACACACACACACACACACACACACACACACACACAGTAGAAGAACATTTTTCTTTACATTTTTGTTACATTGCTTACAAGCTAAAGTTTATTTCATCTGCCATATTGCAGGACGATGCAGGGAAAGTTCAGTGACAACCATCATAAATGTGTCCATAAATAGCAGGCCAGATCTGAAGAAAAGTGTACTGGAAATGATCTGCAGAATGCAAATGGCAGACTCTTTATTTGTCTTGCTTTCATATGATTTGGTTTGACTGATTTTGTTGATACCCACATTCCAACAACTTATTTGGTTTTGACTTGGGAAGGAAGGGGATGATATAAAAAGGGAAGATTGTGTCTAAGCAAGTTGCACAACAGTAGCATGCATTAGACTACTGCATGCAAAAGTATATTGCTTTTCTAATGCAGTATATTGTTTCCAGTGGCCTAGCATGACACACTAAATACTCACATGCTGCCTAATGAAATAGTAGGATTGAGCAATAGGTGCCAAGATGGGTATATAATTTATCTAGTCTCTTTGATTATTATCAACATGTTTCTTTTTTAATATCAACATGTTTCTTTTTTTTATATATTGGAAAATGTTTTTGTTTTAAAGCACTGATTGTAGTTTCAGTGGGAGATTGTCACATTAGATTGGTTCTCTCCGATCTGCACTGGAAGTTGTGAAGAGTATGTCATGATCTTAGTATGATTGAATTAAGTGACATTGAAAAGACACTGCTGTTAGGAATTCTGAGTAGGAGTCATGGACTTAGGTATTGTTTTATGAAGGAGTTTAAACAGGAGTGATAATAAAAAATTCATTTAAGGGAAAACATAAAATGTAAGTAATATATAGGAAATACGGTAATGAAGTCCTCTGCTGGTCAAGACTGTTTGAAGATTAGCAGGTTATCTTGCAAAATATGCAATTTCTTTGATAATTCATTCACCGTCACCTGGTTAGTTATCTTAGCTGTAGTGGACACTGCTGTAAGTCACACAGAGGTTTTCCATTCAGAACAGAGATGTCTCTGGACGGAAAAATGCACCTAGTAGAAAATTAATTTAGTGGTAAAAGTGACCTGCCACGTTTCAGTATAATTTAATACAACTTTGAATTGGTGGTGTAACAGGCAGTTTTGTGGAGGAATGTGTAAAACAGATTGAAAATATCTGCAGGAAATTTAGTTTTACAGATTGTGGAACTATTAATTTCTCTACTGCTTTGGAATATGAGGGAAAACTAAACAGAATTTTTTTATAAAAGCCGATAATGTTGGTTCCATGTTTCAGATAGTATTTATCTTAAAACTGTTTTAATAACCACTTTCAGGGGGGAAATATAGCCTTAGTAGTTTAGAATTGCTGCTTTTTTGGATCCCGTTAAATGACCAATATTGTACCATTCATAGATTATGGAACCAGTGTTTTTTCCCTTTTGTGACCATCCTTTCCTTACAGGTCATCTTGTAATTTACAAACCATTTTCCCAACTATTTTAGTCATGATTTACCTTGAAAAGGGGGTTTAAGTTGCTTTAGTCATACTTTAAAAGCCAGGCTTTTGTGTTACTCAGAATAGTTGATCTTTCTCTTCTAGAAGTTATTGGAAATAAGGTGCAACTTACTACATTTAAAATGTAACTACCATTGTGGTGATCGTATTCATTATTCACCCATTTCACAAAAAGATGGAGTTATCTCTCCCCTCCCCCCCGATTACCACAAGTGCTGTGAACCTTTACATGTGTTTGTAGAAAATAATAAAAATACCGAATACTGTGTGTGGTAGGAATTACTGGTCCACTTTACCTTGGCATAACATTTATCTTGGGACCAAAGCTACTTAAATCTGTGATTTCCAAATTGCAAAACTGTTTGGAGGTTGAATTTTGAGGTTTGTTTTTGGTAGTTTCCCTGAACTATTTTGTGCCGATCTAACAAAATCAAATGGAATAAAGTAACTGTACAACTGATGGTACTGCACTGTTTTTGGAAATAATGCAGCCATATGAACGAAAATGTATTTTGCAAAATTACATATTTGTTAATTTTTACATTTAATTGTTTTTAAAACCGTAGGAAGAGCAAAGTTAAAAATTTTAAAACACCTGTACTTGAGTTGAGAGGTCTGATTACATTAATGTTTTTGAATGGTTTTATTTTTATTATGTATAACTGTAGGCTATATGGCTGTGATTCAGAGAAAAATCTTTAAAAGTAAGAAGTCTATGCATTTTACAGTTAAACTTTTTATTTTACCATTGGGTAATAAAACAATTATACATTGAACAGCTGTTGTGTTAAAGTGAGTTAATTTCCTTTAAACTTATTACAAACGAGTTTTTGTACTATGAAATCTTAGGTTTCTTGATGCTATATTGCTAATTGTGTGTGTCTGAATTGTCCTCTCCCTATTGTGTGTGTATCTGCATATTTGTTTATGGTCAGAATGAATGCAGAAACTTGTCGTTAGTTTTCTAAAAGTGGTTTTGCACAAGGCTGGTCACACTTGATTTATTTTATTTCGTCCTTGGATATTTTTATCAAATCTTTTCAACAATCAAGACATTTTTCAGAAATGTAGATACAGAAACCAAAAGAGATTTTTCTTTACAAAGTAAAGGTGACTCTTAAGTACAACAAATTAAAGTTGATTTTTTCAAGATTCCATGCTTTTAATCTTTAATAGTTATATTTTTGTTTGTGGGAGGGCAAGGTTTTATTAAATGTCCACTGTGTTTACTATGAAACATCAAGTAGCAAAACTGTTTTTCCATTCACAGTGCAGCTTGGGTTTTAGTTAGTGCATATATAAGGCATTACTGCATTTCACTGTATAGATGCTGTTTGTGAAGACTTGTCTTTCTGGGTCAGACGCTGTTTTTTGAACTAACAAAAGGGAAAGTGGGGAGAAGACGAGTAACGTCTGCAAATCCTTTCTCCCAGAAAACTTTCTTTACATTTATTGGAAGCTTTGGTGGAATAAGGACTGCAGAATTTGGCCTAAAGATTCTAGAGCTAGGACATGCTTTCCTTCTTTATCTAAAATCTTCCTTGAAGTTTATGGTTGTTCAGGGCATATAAAGAACACAGAATCTGGGTTCTAAGTATGCCATGGACTGTGTTCAATCTAGAAAGATGGGAATTTTTTCCTAAAAAGTGTGTTGCCATCTTGTGTATTTCTGACATGTGAGTTGCTCTTATTATTTTAAACAACTTCAGCTAGGCAAAGTAATCTACAGAGCAACATACATTCTGTGACCCTGGACTGTATCTCTTAACAATAGCACTTAGTGTTGTTTTTAACTTAGTTAAATTAACTTTTTAACAAATACTGTATACAGTAATAAGTAACAGAGAAATGGAACTCGGTGCAAGATGCATCAGTATATTCCAAAATCTGTAGAACATAGTAGTGGCTGTAGTTATGTGTCTGTCTTCATTTCGCTTCTGGATTTTGTTTTTCCATGCTGTGTTTTTTCTGTGATCAGTGAAAAAGATTTATAGAGAAAAGGGGATAAAGGGAAAACTTGAAAGCTGAATTTAAAGCTCTAAGAGATCCAATGCTGACTGGCCCTGTTCTCATGTTGAAAAAAGCCATTGTTTTAAATTCCTGCTTAATATGAAAATGGGGTTTTCTAAGTTCCTTACTGCTGGAAGAAATGTATTTTTTAAAAGGAAAAAAGTCCCTCTTTGGTTATGAGACTGTCAGCTGAATAAGCTGGTGTGATCATATCATGACATGCTGATCAGATATAATCAATAAATTTTTACCTCACAGGGCTCATAATCTTGTACTTTTGCTTCTCTGGTAATGTCTTAATTTGTCTTGTGGATTCCTGGCTTAGCAAACACCAAGAGTTTCCACTGAAGCAGCAAACAAGAAAGGTGATATGAGTGTCACACATGTACATATGCAAGTACTCCCCATACATACACATACACAGAGAGAGAGAGAGAGAGAGAGAGCGCTAGGACACAATTTTTGATTTGGCAAAAAATCATGTACAGTGTGAAACTGACTCAAATATAATTCAGTGGCGATACAGGGATTCCAAACGCTCGCACGCGCAGACACACTCTTGTTCATCATCCACCCCAAGCTTATAAGGGAGAAACAAAATCAAGGCCCAACAATGTATTTCTCAACTGCTACCTCTCCAGCTCATTGAGTGTAGGCTTCCTTTAAAGGGAGCTATGACATCATATCCATCTTTATAATCATGGTGGCCACAATGCTGGAACCATGAATTGAAAGTAAGAGGGTTATCTAGAAGAGCCTGACAAACTGAGAGCCTACAGCAGGGTCCACTCTCAGCTCCAGTATTTTCTCGTGGCCAGTAAGGGAATTAGCTCTGGTAGCCAA